TTCTGGATGACATCTTGTTTATCCCTAAAACTGGCCTATGTTACAAGGGTATTAAAAATTCGTGGCGCAGTCTTGTTGAGTGTGAATCTTACTGATAATAGCAACAGCTGCCTCTTGTCTTGCCAAGCGGTTTAGCAAGGAAGGAGAAAGGTCAGTCTTGATCACCGGCTTGTGCTTTAGGCAACTAAAGTCAAGAAGTAAAGAACCCTTGCACATGTAGGTGTGTTCTGTTGGCAATGGGCAGGATAGCTGATTAGTGTCAGTGGGACCACAAACTTTGGCTTGGAGCTCAGAATTTTTTTTAATAGAACCAAGCTGTATCTTCAGAAATAAGGTAAAGCGTGGCATTGAGCTGAGTCATGGTAACCCCATGATATTCCACCTTATGGGGTTTTCAAGGCAAGAGATGAGCGGGGGTGTTGCCTTCTTCTGAAGAGTCTCCTTAGTGATCTCCCATTTAAATGCTGGCTATGCTTAGCTCCAGAGTTCTGGTGAGATTGGGCTAATCTGGGCTACCCAGGCCTCTACACCTTGAGAAATACTTTGTATTATAGACCTTCATGGACTGCACCACTCAGTCTGTAGATGGAGGCTCATATGTTACAATCTGCTCCCTCACATTAGAAGTCTTTGTACATAAGAGAACTCTAGCTTACCCGGGAGAAGGCTAGACTAAAATCTTTCTCACTGATGTGGAGATCTAGCCAGTGCAAGGGAAATGTTCACGTTGGCAGCACATATAATAACCCCTCCTCCTGCATTTTGAAGTGGTAGAGCCTAGGAAGCCTGTGCTACATGAGATTCTTCGATACATAGCTTGGCACTTGGCTATGATAGCTGCCGTTAAGAATACTTTTTGCTGTGATCACATCTTAAGAAAGGGGTCATGTTTGGAAGAATATAAAACATTACTGTATTTGTTCAGCTCAGAGGGCTGAATTCTCTGCTGAAGTACAATACAGCTTTCATCTCTAACAAAAGTGTGTGGGGAAACTGGACAAGAATTGGTGCTATTCAGTTCAAGTTGAGATGAATGTCTGTATTATTTGGCTTTGTTCTTCTTAACTAGCTGAAAGGTTGATTTTAGACATAACAGAAGGTTTTAGCATTTCCTGTTAGATCCTCGGCATATCTAAGTAAGTGCTTGTATTCCATGTCATTTACTTCATTAGTACACAAGTTCCACGTTAGCATGGGACAGTGTTTTTTTTGTCCTTTCAAATAATTTTTATTTTCAAGACAAACATAAAATAGGTACATTAACACATATCATTTTTCCCTATTAGTTTACCTCATACATAATCTAAAACTATGTCAGTTTTCCACCTTATGTATATAATATTTTACGATATAGATATATAAATCTTATTTTCTACTAATTTAACCTTTGTCTAAGTATTTTTGTATAATCTTCCATTAACTATATATAGTTATATGGTTCTTATTTTCTTCTAGTTTGATTATCTAAACATCTCTCTCTCTCTCTCATCTCATTTTTAGTCCATCTTTAGGATCTTACTCCATTATAAGTTTCTAGATTTCTCTCAGAAGTTGTAGCTTTCCATTCCTGCCTTCTTCTTTTTCTGGTTTCTCTTTTTAAGTTTTAAAGTCTTAATTCTGTGTCTTTTTTCTTTATAGGTATAGAAGTTGTTTTCTGGGAATAGCTATCTGTAGTCAATTCTTGAAGTGGTTTGAAATTCCATACATTGCTTTTTTTTTCTCTCTCTGGGTTGGTGTATAAATCAATGTTTTGAGGGCTTCATCAGTATTGGTGTCTTATAGAGTCTCAGGTGAACTTCTACGAAAGTTTTATTTTTCTTTGGAGGTGCTGGTTTCATTTTGTAGACCATATCAGTTAGATTATAGGTCTATATCTTCTATATAGAAATGTTCTTGCTTCTCCTCCTTCCATTGTGGCTGACCTTCCTCTATCTTGCTTGATGTTTGTTGTTGCAGTAGATCAATTTTGTCTTGCTTAGAGGCAAAAAGTTCTTTCACGTTTGTGTTTACAGCAGCAATAATCGAGTTTTGGATTAAAATATTGAGGTCTTGAAACAAAGATACAACCTCTGACACCATAAGTTGTAATCTATCTGTTTCATCCATTTTTAAAACCATATGTTAAAACCAAATAATCTCAAGGTTCTTTTTCTGCACGATTTTACAAATCACACCCACTGATATTTACAAAACATAGCTGTTTTAGTCATATTAGAGGCAGAGTTCAAGAATCTTATCAATTGGTTACATTACAGAAGAAGACAATCAAAACAAAATGTACTTTACAGTTGGACAAACATAAACATAAGATGTTGTGAGAATATAATGTATAAAGAGTTCAGGGTAAGATCCAGTTCTCCTTTCTTCCTTTAAAAATACTCCAATTATTGAAGTATAATTGCTTATATTCCTTATTAAAATGGAGGTAAATCTTTATAAAGTCTTGCTACTATTCCAGATTATTTGCTTATAGCTCCAGACAAAAGGAAGAGAAAAAGGAACTATATATTTCTAGATAACAAAAGTCCAAAAACAGCTGAAGCCAATTCTTCTCCAATTTTTTATTCCACAGGGAAAATTATTACAGTCTCAGAAAAAAAGCCTTCTCTTTACTTTTTTGCTCAGGAAGCCATTTAAAAATCACTTGAAGTTCTTTTCGTGCCCGCTGCCGGAGGAAGAGGGGTGGGACTTGAAAGAGTTCTTCACCCCTCCATTCCTTTGTCTTTTTAAACATTAAAGGGGCTTTATCATTAGGTAGGTAGATTTTCTGTTGTTGTTGCTTTTAAGCGTACTCATGGTGTTGTTCTTCATTGATGCTATGGATGAGTTTCCAGTTTCTCCCCCTCCGGGGTAGTCTGACATGGATGCGCTCAGTCGGCTCCTATGTTGAGGCGCTCTCAGACTTCTACCTGCTTGCTGCTGTGCATGAGGGATCCAAGTCAAGCCCCTTGCAATGAGCTTCTCTTTGGGAAGCTCATTGGAGTTCGGGATCCCCTGAACCCCTCTAAAAGAACTGCCGATCCGGCTGTCATACAGGAGGTCTCCCTGGTGCGACCGTTCTTGTTGCACCAAAGCCCCACCCTCAGCATGGGACAGTGTTGTCTGGTGCTGGTACTGAGACAAAACAAGTGTTTCAGTGTTCTGAAGATGTTTCAGACTGAAGACTGGAAATCACACTTGTGTCCTGCTCGTAGAAAGCTACCATGTCATTAAATGGTACCAAGTCCCTGTACAGCTTGTATTCTACATGCATGGAACCTATTTTTCCCCACATTGGGGAACCATTCAACTATGCAGTCCCTAGCTATGGATGGAATATGCTGTGTCAAGCCAGGCCTGGGTTTTATAAAGGAGGTTTGAGGATATTTGTTACTGAGAATATATATTTTTCATTAGTATAATGCACTAAAAGCCCTATGGATGAGGTTTACTACTTTATTATAGTGTGCAAGCAAGACTTGGTTTTACATTTATTAAGTATTCGGTTTTAATTATTGATACCTGTGAACCTGAATGTTCAGTTTTGACCACTGATAAAGACTTGTTGTCAAAACACATTTGGTTTTGTCTTACATACCTGTAATAATTAATGTATTGCATATGTATATGTATAATAATTTCATGTATTGTGTATGTATATATTAATACACATTTTTGTTCATTATATTATGAGTGGTTGCTTGGCTGAACTGTTTTACATTTTGGTTTCTTTAAGTGGGTACTCTAGGTTTTTTAATTGTGCTTGGAGAGAGATATTTGATTATCTGTAAGTTTCTATTTTTAGGTTTTGGCTTTTGATGCAGTTGCTCCTATGTTATTGGTTTTTAAGAGGTACATTCCCAGGAAGGCTTTGCATTTTCTGAACATGTTGGCCAATGCAAAGGTTTTCTGTCAGATTCTTGACAAGGATTAACAGGTAGCTGAATTAGCAATAGGCCTTTAGTCAAAAGAAGGTCCAGAGGGGACCCTTCCAGCTCAGGACCCTTCCAGAGGGGTCTGACTGGCTGTTGCTAGCAATCAACAGCATGAGGGGACAGAGGAACCTTGGTCTTATCCTGCAAGCCAGGTCTTAATGGTTTTAAGACAGCCATTTCAGAAAGAGTTAAAGTAAAATTAGAGAAGGTAATATGTTTACTTGGCAAGATCCAGGCCCCGCAGGCTTTGGCATCCCTTCAAAACAGAGCAAATAGCTGCAGAGATTTCTGCCACAATCAAATATGAGTAATAGAAAAAAAACCTTACTAACATAATAGACTAGTTTGTGCTGGCATGGAGACTGTGCTTTAACTCCTATGATCTAAACATTATGCATATCATCATCTGGAGCCACAGCATGTCACAGAATACATTAGGAACTGACTTTACTGTTGTTGCATAGAGGAATATTCCATGAGTCAGAGCTGTGAGGATGCTAAGTTACAGTTGGTTAATTTCTTTGGTGTATAAAAAGGTACAGCCCGAAGGAAGTATGAACAGCTCCCTTATATGGCCTGTGGATCGTACTGAGGCCCATTAATCTTGAACACCGACAACAGCTTCATGATAAACGTAGCGATTATCTTTCTCTGTTTAATGCAGAAATAGCTTTGCCAGCAAATTGTGTGCTAATCATGACAGTACGTTAGTATGTGTGTGTGTGACTGTGGCGTTCCAAGATGGCCATTTTTGGTATCTGAAGGAGCTGAATTGGAACCCTGATGCTCATCTTTCAATACATAAAATTGAATGGAAGAGAACTTTCAGTTACCTACCCTAAGTGGGATGGCAAAGTCACCTCAGTGTTAGGTGGAATATAGGCTAAATATGTATTAAGTTGCCTTGCTGACTATTTGTTGGATATTTTAGCAGAGTAAAAAGGAACCACACAGAAACCACACAGCACGCACGTGTAAATTAGCTAAAACAAAGTTTACCAATAAAATTCGGAAGGGTTATATGATAAGGATAAAACAATAAACAGTCTGTCTAGCTACATCTTTCTAGTTACTGTTAGCCCCAAGATGGATACTCACACTGTAATCTCCAAACAAAGGGAGGAAGAAGAAACTCCCAAATGCCTATGTGCAGAATATCAGGTAACATCACCCAACTATGAATTGATGAATAACCAGGCTAAGGGTCTCTTCACTATGCATTGGACTCCCTTTTCTCTGGTGGGAATCACATGCAGGGCAGCTCATTGATTCTAAAGCTAACTAACAATTAGCATTCACAAACATGAACTCTTTCATGACATCAGGGAGTGAACTTGCAAATATCCCAACACCCCCTCTCAAGTTCATGTACTGAAGTTCAGCTTCTTGCGCAGGTATTTAAACGTCCCTCTTGCGAGTGGCTTGGTGAGTGTATCAGCCATCATGTCTTCTGAGGGACAATACTTGATCTGAATGAGCCCTTGTTGCATCTCTCACACGGAATGGTATTTGGTGACAATATGCTTGCTTCTTGCTTTGATGCTCTCACTCTTGGATAAGGCTCTTGGATAAGGCCTGATTGTCCTCAAACAAAGTTATTGGTTTAGGTTCATCAACACCAAAGTCCTTTTAGTAGACAGATGATCCATTCAAGTCCATTGCAGGGATCTGCAGCAGATATGTACTCAGCTTCTGTTGTTCATTTGGCAACTACTGGTTGCTTTTGACTGGCCCAGCTGATCTAGCTGTCTCCATAGAAGAAAATGTAGCCACTTGTTGACTTGTAGTTAGTCTGGTCTTCACCCCAGTCAGCGTCAGTATATCCAACCAGTCTCGTATTGTCACAAGTTGAGATGTTCAGTTTCAAGTCAGCAGTTTTTTTGAGGTATTTTCTCAGTCTCTTTACAGCATTCCAGCCATAATGATTTGGTGAATCAGTCTTTCTGCACAGGATTCCAACAGCTGCAGAGATATCATGTCTTGACATTGTGCTCAGATAAAGCAGTTTGCCAATTGCTTCTCTGTATTGTTGGTTGCTCTCTAGCAACACTCCATCTTCAAGTTTGATGTATGCTGGCTCAAGTGGAGTACTAACTCCTTTGGCATCCTTTAGGCTCAGGGACTCTGCAAGGTTCACAAGCTTGTGTCTTTGGTTTAGGAGAAAACTCCCATTTTCAGTTCTTTCAATTTGTATTCAAAATTTGTATTCCAACTGTTTTACTCCCACCTCTTTGTTCAGGTTATCTGCAATTTCCTGAACATCTTCTTTGGTCTGGTAGCATAATAACAGTCCATTCCTACATGCCAGCACATACTGATACAGTCCATGTTTAAGTCTGGAATGTAGGCAGGTGTCTGCCATTCCCTGTCATAATTTTTGGCTTTGCTGCAGCATAATTAATTCCTCAGTCCATGCTATGACAGCTTGTTCCTCTCCATTGAGGAATGCTGTCCCAATGTCCAGGTGCTAAACATGCCTTTTTCTTGATTGTGCTACATTTAGCAGTGTCCTGAAGGTGGTGTATTTGACAACAGGTGTAGGCTGTTCAATCATTTCTTTGCAGTTTGAGGCTTCACACTCAGGTTGCACATTTACATGCAAGGTGTACCTTTCAGGTAGTACGTCCTTATTGCTCCTCTGTGACCTTCTCACAGAAACTGCTTTCTTCTCTGGCCCAGCTTGCCCTGCCACCCCTTCTGATTGTGGGGTGTCTTGTTGACCTGCCTGTGGACACATGGTCCCAAGATTTGCTTCATTCCATCAAGGTGGTAGTCTTTTACTCTTACCATACTGGAAATAGCCTCCACTGCAAATGCACCGCCATATCATCTTATGCTAATGATCAGGCAGGGATGATGTGCCTTCCCCCAGCTCAGTGTGTTCCCTTATTTTCATTCCTTTTTTGATCAGTGGGTTTGTTGTGCCATGTATCCCACTTCTCTAGAGTTCCAGTTTAACTAGGGTTAACAATTACACTAGGGAAATAGCCAACAATGCATGGATCACTGAGTTCTTCTAAAATTAATTTCAGAATTGGAGCATCAACAATTTGCTGTATTTTTTCAGTTCCTTTAGTTCATATGGATTTTCCCCCATTATACATTATGGATAAGCACATTGATAAAACATTGCCCCCCCAAAGCAATCTTTCTGTGATTATATGCACGATTGCATCGTTCTGCCATTATGGGAGCTAACTTGAATGAAAGTGTGCATTTGGCAAATTGCACTGGTAGGTAAATGTGTAACTGGCAACTTATACATCTTGGTGCATGATGCTTGCATGTGCAGGAACAATGTCATATATCATAACATCTATTCACCAAAGGTAAGTTGTAATACATGCAGGTAAGTGCAACCCTGTATATGTTGATAAATGCTAAATGATACAGTATTCATGCATTTTGTGTTGAGGAGGGAGAAAGCAGCATGGAGTTACTTTGCAAGTAGGATCCCCAAATCAGATCCCTCTTCAGAAAGTTAAAAATCACTGAAGTATGTTTAAATGTAGCTTGTAATGTTTGAACACCATGCTCATTGATTTGTGTTCCAAAACTCAGAGGAAGTGGCTTATCAGTGGGCATTATAATGGATTAGAAATTAAAATGCTAAAATGTGCTTGTCAATGCCTCTTTTGCAGTGTCCAGGAGGAGCTTTCACACCCAACATACAGACAACCAAGGAGTTTCCAGATGATGTGGTCACCTTCATCAGGAACCACCCCTTGATGTTCAATCCCATATATCCAATCCACAGGAGACCCTTAATCATTCGGACAGGCACAGACTTCAAATATACAAAGATAACTGTTGATCGCGTTAATGCAGCAGATGGAAGATACCACGTCTTGTTTCTTGGAACAGGTAAAAAAAGATTTCAACAAGGGTTTTATAAAATGCATTTGCCAACTTCCAGCAACAGACTTACACATGTTTAAGAGGTGAGTTTCCAATAACTGATACTATTTTCTTACCTTTATCATGTTCTGACTTTGTAACCATCTGATTTCAGCTGAAGAGGGAAATTCATTAAGATTAACAATAAAGTATATTGCCAGCTAACACACCATGCAACATTAGACATGTCCAAAAAGCAGAAATCAACTATTAAAAGTGTCTTGCACTTATGCAGTGCCTCATATTTTCCAAGCTCTATAGTCAAGAACACAAAAAAACCTCCACATTCCAAAATCTATCTGGCAATGAAGACAGTTGTAAATACCCCCTTTTAGGTTGGTTTTCCTCCAATTCCTGGTATTCTGCTGTGATAAAAATCCTTGAGAGAAACAGCTGGGGAAGAGAATTGTTTTCTCCAGTGGAAAATCTGATTAGATCCAATCTTTCTTTCTCTCAAGATATCTTTGTTTTGTTTTGTTTTAAATTTAAAAAGCATGTATCCCACACTCTCCGGAATCTGCCCAGCACATCTAGCATTATAAAATGAATAAATAAAATACAATTTTAAATTAAAAAGAGAACAGATAAAATAACTAAATAAGTAAACTGAAGGAAACAGCGGGAATAAAACCAACAATCAGTAATATACAACAGGAGACAGTAAATGCAGTAGTATAAAACCAGTGTAAAAGCAGTAGCATGAAAGCTGGGAGAGAGCAGGACAAAGAGATAAAACAGTTAAAAGCCTAAAGGAACAAGAACATTTGGCCTGGCACCACAAACTCAGAAATGTAGGCAACTGCCACAGGGGAGACTCAGAGGCTGGGATCAAGCAGCACCCCCCCTAAGCCTTGAGCTTGCTCTCCCCCAGGAAAACCCCATCCAGGACTTGTCTGGACTGACTGTCGTTTTATTCTACCTTATGCATCCCATTATCTTATTCCCATTTGGTAAGTGCTCAGAGTCGAAGCCTTCCCTTCTTTTGGTCTTGCCCATTCACTGTGCCATGACCATGGAGGATACTTAGTATTTTTTTTAAAAAAAAGAGACTTAAATATGACTTTATGTTAACACCAAAAAAGGTTTACTGTTCTGTTTGCACTTAACACTTTTAGCTTTTGTGTCTTCCCTGAAAAACAGAAGGGCTGAACAGAATTTGTTCAAGATAATCAAAGTCACCAAGGAAAAGTTAGAGATTATGCATTTTTTTAAATTAAAAGATCTGTGTCTATAAGCTGCATTGCAGTGTTCTGGTGGGCTTGGAAATTAGCAGTGCAGGTATCAGCAGCCCTTGGCAGAGACAAATGGCACTAGGCTCCTTCGTGACATTGATGCTTAGACAATATGGATGAATTCCTGAAGCTGAGAAATTGCCAGTAATGTTTGTTACTGTCTGAGATGCGTCTCATTTCTTCAAAGTGAAGTGCAGAAGGACATGTAGGATTAGATCCTGCAGATCTTTCCCATTAACAGAGATACTTTCCTCCAAGGTGCTTTCCTGTGGTGGAAGGAGCTCTCTCCTGACACAGCATTAGTTTGAGCATCTTGCATCAGGGGAAGGCTTCTTCCACTGGAGTAGAGCTCCTCAGCTAGGGGATGGATTCATGGGATCCAACAAGTGGTCTCAAAACTATTTCCAAATGTCAGTGGCATCTTTGAATGTTTCCCTCATATCAAAATCTCATTGGCCTTGAAAACCCAATATGTCAGACAGACAGTCCAAGCCACCTTCCTAATATATAGGGTTTGGGGGTTTTTTGTATGTGAAGAGAGTCTTCGGTTACTTCATTCAATTTTTAGTCTTGTCAGTGTACATATTTCCCCTTCCATTTTATGTTCACCCTGTGAAGTGGGTTAGGCAAAGACAGAATGACTATCTCAAGGCTACTGAGTGAGCTACATGGCAGAGTTGGGACTCAGTCTAACATTCTTACCACTACACTGTGAGGGCCACTGGGGAAACTGTCAAAAATTATTCACCATGTGCAGTCTCATGCCCCAAAAATTCAGTTCCATATAATTAACTGGACATATAACTGATTTCTCAATGCCAGTCACTGATTTCAGACTCAAGGCAAATAGCTTGGAGAAAGAACCCCTCCGCTGTTCTTAACGTGATCATGCCCCAGGAAGAGCACAATCAACTCTTTCATTTTTGCATACAGCTAAGGAATGGAACACAGGATTTCCTCTGAAACCTTAGCCAATGGTGTTGAGCACACAGCAGCTGCTCCATGCCAAGCATTAGTAATGGGTACAGTGTGCCTTTCTAGGCCATAGAAGGAGTGAAATAAATCCTTGAAGCAGACGATTGTTCTTGGGACATGCTGCCTGGCTTTCTGAATGATAGCAATCTAGCATTTCCCCCAACCCCCCAGTCTCCTAAAGCACCATACACAACTGATGGGCTGATGCACAACCCTCGGCACCATGGGGCACCTTTTGGTCCAGAAATGGACCAACCTCTACAATGGAACGACCTCTACAATGAAATAGGAGTGAGCACTCAGCCATAAAGAGAAGAGTACTATCTGTGTCCTATAATCTTCTGCTGAAACAAGAAGAGTAATTGATTTGTTCCTGGTGTAATTACTGAATTTCAGATTTATCTGGAGGCAGAAAGGTTATCTGAAAACCTCCTGAGGATCTCACTAGCCTAGGATTGCCAGATCAGATTGGGAAACTCCTGGAGATTTGAGGATGGAGCCTGGGGAGAACAGGGAAGAGTAATTGATTTGTTCCTGGTGTAATTACTGAATTTCAGATTTATCTGGAGGCAGAAAGGTTATCTGAAAACCTCCTGAGGATCTCACTAGCCTAGGATTGCCAGATCAGATTGGGAAACTCCTGGAGATTTGAGGATGGAGCCTGGGGAGAACAGGGACCCCAGTAGGGTACAATGCCATGGAGTCCACCCTCCAAAGCATCCATTTCCTCTAGAGGAACTGATGTCTGTTGTTTGGGGATGACCAGTAATTCAAGGGGAGGTCCATCAGTGGCTATTAGCCACAAGGTATAGCTAGGAACTCTCAGTCTGGGGCAAGTGATGCACTGTATTCTTTGTGCTTGGGGGAAGGGCAACAATGGGAGGACTTCTAGTGTCCTGGCCCCACTGATGGACCTCCTGATGGCACCTGGTATTTTTTGCCACTGTGTGACAGAATTTTGGACTGGATGGGCCATTGGCCTGATCCAACATTGACTCCTCTTCTGTTCTTACTTCACAATCCTTATATCATCCATCCATCCATTTTGCGGTATGATGAATTATGTACTCAGCCTGAGCCTGAGGAGACTGAATGGAAATTCTTGTTCCACAGCATACACCCAGGGTGTCCTTGCACAAGGTTGAATCTAAAGCCAGAACTTATGGGAAACATGTGGCTGCTTTCATAAACACCAGCCCCATGTCCGCTCCCTCCTTATGTCCAGTCATACAGGTTGTATGATATGACATCACTGTGCTGTAAGATTCCCACTTGTATCTCTCCCACCCACCCAAAAAAATCTGTAGCACAGTGATCTTTTGTTGCACAGTTAGCACTGGGGAAGAGGAGGTGAGTCAGTACTGCTGTTTACAGCAGCAGCAATGCATCCCCCAAACATTTAATTCCAGCCTCAGTGGCACAGCAGTATGATGGAGAAATGAGACATCCCATAGCATAAGCTGTATGAAGTAGTTTGGGAATAGCATTCTTCCCAAGAGCATCGGTCCTGGATGCTGGTGCATATTGCCAGCATTGTCCTGGTGTAAGATTTACTTGGTATCCTTCGCAATGCATGGGCTAGCTTTAGGATTATTGACTAAAAATTCTCAGTGGCAGAGCAGGAGTACGTTTTTCAGAGTGTTACTTGAAATGGAGATATAGTTACTTGGGGATTCCTTAACTAGCCATGTGGAAAGCTAGCTCATGGTTACTATTTATATGCATCATCTCACCATGTGGATCAGACAACTTTCCCCATGCCACAGTCATCTTTGCTGGAATGCTTCGTCTTGGTGCTGGCAAATTTGACTAAGCCGTAGCCTGCTCTAAATGAAGGGATTATCATTGGATATGGGCATTTTTAGGTATCATACATTTCACTGATATCTTTTTTTGCTTCCTTGGAAACAACATGTTGCCTCAGCAGAGACTTCTAAATTTCCTGACTTTTGCTCTAGGAGAAAGTTGACTTTGTGAAATGAGATTTGATAATCTGGGTCCTCCTTGCCAGTTTTAGTCACTATACCAGGGGTCTCCAAGCTGTCGCCCGCAGACCGCATGCGGCCCCTGAGTTCTTTCTGTGCAGCCCTCCAATCTGCTTGTCTGCTGCTGTAACCCTCAAGGCTTTTTTCTCAGATCCACACATTATTCTTCCTGCCTCAAGAGGCACCGTCTAACTGCTGTTTTTCCTGTCCTTTTCTTGCAAAAAACCACAATGGCAACATTGTTTTTTCTTGTCTCCATGGTTCCCTCTGTCAGCCCCCTCTTGGTCTCATCCTCCACACTAGCTAGCATTTTGGCCATTCTGGGTGCTTTGCTAGCCAGCACAGCTCAGGTACCTGTTCTGCTCAGCTTTTTCACTCCCCCCTCCATGCATTACCATGATGAAGGCTACATGTGTGTAAGGAAGATAAAGCAGCTTTATGAATGGGTACAGGAGATGTCTGGCCTGCTTTTGCAAAGAAGGCAGGAAAAGGGCTGGTATTTTTGCAGAAAGAAAAAGGGATTGTTAAGTCGCATGCTTAACAAATAGTCGGAGAGTGATTTCAGCAAGAACACATCTTTATTCTTCCACTCGAACACTTCTCCAACACGGATCAACATCTGATAGCCAGAACAGCTTTAACATTGCAGCTGTCCTGCTTTTAAACATTCCCGGCTAATATAGCCACGCCCACTGTACACATTACAACCAATAAGGTTGAAGTTATAAGGACCAATCACAGATGTTCCCGCTCAGGGAGCTTGCTGTAAGGTGAT